ATCCCATAACACAAGCATTACAGTGCTAACTTTGGGGCTGGGCTAATTGGTGTGTGTTGGAAATATTTATTTATTACTAGCAAACCCAGCGAACTCCGTTTCGCCACCAGATAGCTTCGTTTTATGTAACATTTCGTTTTGTGATTAAAAGAAAACGATTTTTTTTTTATTTTTCCTGAATTTTCTTTGCTATAAACCTCACGGAGCCCGAGACCTTTCCAACGAATGCAAAACCGTGGAAATCGGTTCGTACGTTCTGGAGTTATAGCGTCAGGAAGGAAAACCCGACTTATTTTTATATAGTAGATTAAAAAAAAAAGTTTGGCGGTTTCGGATTGTCCTCAATATGAATTCCGATAGTCGATATTAAATATTTAATATGGTGAGACATCTCTGCATACGCCGTGTAAAAATGTACTGTGCTGCTGTGTCCTAAAGTCCCAATTAGTAAAAATAGTTATGCTCAAAATGTTAATAAAGCCCATAATTGAATTAACAGAATCGACTAGTTACATACACGTGTCCCGGTTATTGTTTGATAGTTAAGTTAAACAAACAAGGCAGGGTGCAATCTGCCCTGACAGCATATCGGCACGTATTCTTGCGCGCGCGCATCGAATGCAAGCGCTCATCAGATTGCTTAATGCCAACTTTGCATATGTCAAGGAAGCTAACAACCTCATTAGTATGCAACCGAATCATATACATAACCAGTCTTGATATTACTTAACACCTTCTATTTTGGGTATCCACTTCTGTCTGTCGTGTTTATGTCGAACTGATCAAACTGCATGTCTCTAAAACTCTTATTGCCTGCGTAGACGAGGGATTTTTGACCGCCAAATTAGAAAGCTTACAACTGCATCGAGAAACACACTCGAGGAATTAACAGCGAAGCGTACAAACAGTCGCCCGAGCAACCGATGACACTGAGAGACCGGACAGGACAAAAGTACGCGGAAGTCCCCGACAAACATAGAACTCATGTGACTAGCAGGGCCGGATCTACCATATGGCTTTTTGGGCTTCAGCCCTGGGCCCCGTGGATTCAAGGGCCCCCAGCTAAGTCAAGACAAAGCCAAAAATAGACGATAATGCGAAAGAATCCATACTTTTATTAAAGTAAACAGATCGGAAATTGAGATAGGCAAATATCGCTGAATTTAATAGAAGTAGCAGATATAATATTTTCAAAATAGATGTCTAAAGCTGAACTAGTGATGCACCAAAGAAAGAAAATTAAAATTATTTTCTTTAAAGCGGTAGATTCAATTATTATAGAAGTACATTCTATGTAGAAAAAATAAATTGGTGAATGTAACCCCATTTATATTACCCCTAGTATGTGAGAAGCAAATTAAAGAATTTGCCATGTCTGCACTTTGCAGAAAGGTTGCTTTCTAATTTGTCAATATATTAACAGTAGTATAATACTAAGGCATAATATAATACAATATAAATTAAATATTTAACTGTCTCATTTTTTTTCTATACTTTGAGTAATTAGGTGGGCCCCTAAATAGTATTAGCCCGGGGCCCCCTTAACTCACGGTCCGGCTCTGGTGACTAGGCGCAGCAACGCACACAGCGAACTTGTCCGCTCGGTCTGAATTAAAGAGATAGACCCAGTATTCCCATTTAAAACGTCTTATCCTTTTAAATCCACCCGGACCAGGCAGCGGACGGGACTCGAACCCGCATCCTTCGCTATCCGGGCGAATGCACTGACCATTATGCTACCACGGCCCTATTAGCCGCGTCGAAATTTTCCTAGCCTTAAGCTGCAAGGCAGCGCCATCTCTTCGCATTGTAGGTAACCCACAATGTCAAATGAATACTTTTTCAAGTATTAAACATTTGAAAGAAGAAATAGCAATTATAGTTATGATTTTATTTATTTTTTAGGCATTTAACTGCTAGATGTTTAAATCTAAAGAAATTTTACTAGAAAAAAATGATAATCTTAATATATATAAATCTCGTGTCACAATGTTTGTCCTCAATGGACTCCTAAACCACTGAACCGATTATAATAAAATTCGCACACCATGTGCAGTTCGATCCAACTTGAGAGATAGGATAGTTTAAATCTCAAATTATAGTAGCAATTTTAATTTATTGCAAATTATTACTTTTGGGCGGTACGAAGTTCGCCGAGTCAGCTAGTGGTCTTATAAATTTTTCTAGTAAACTTTTCTTTAGATTTAAACAACTAGCAGTTAAATGCTTAAAAAATATGAGAATATTTATTTTCTTGCGCTTCTCTAAATTTTCGGGCAACAAATGTTGGCATATCGTGTGCGTGAACCCGTGACAAGTTTTCGGCGGACATTTTTTTCACGATTCAGGCAGACGAGGAACTTTTCCCTCGTATACGCAGACCATTATTATTATAATCTCTTTGAACATTCGTTTCATTGAACAATATGCAATACTGCGGCGCCGGCGGCACGCACTTATCAATATTTTATCGTCAGACTGTTGACGCCGCACTCGCTATTTATTTCTTGCTGATAAATATAAATGCTCGATTGATTAGACTTAGACTTAATTCAATGGTTCAGACAACATAAAGTATACTGACTTACCCAAACTTGTGGATATTGGTTTCGATTCTGGCACGATTTATCATCATTATCATCATCAGCCTATTAATGTCCCCACTGCTGAGGCACAGGCCTTCCCTATGAATGGAATAGGGAGATTGGGCCATGACCCACCACGCGGGCCCAGTGCGGGTTGGTGGGTGTTTACGACTGCAGATGCAGCCGGGACCAACGGCTTAACGTGCCTTCCGAAGCACGGAGGAGCTCGAGATAGTAAATTTTTAGTCACCCATCCAATGACCGACCACTGCGAAAGTTGCTTAACTTCAACGATCGCAGCTGAACGCGCTAACCACTTGCGCCATCGAGCTCCTCTACCTAAACTTTTATTTGACAACAGTGTATCTTTGTTATTCTCTACACAGAATGAAAAGGAGGGGCTGGTGTTAAATTTAGTTTTAAGTCTAGAGAACCATGCCAGAAAGGACACCATGGTGGTTTTCCAATTACAGAGCATAATGTGACTCAGTGGCGCAGAATGCCGAATTATGCTGATGCTTAATTGGAACGTGAATTAGTTTTCAAATGCACCAGCGGAGTGCGCTAAATTCAGTGTTGAAAAAAAAAGTCAATGTTTGTACCTTCATATTTAATTTTTAACACAGTTTGAATTAACTTTGATTATTTAAAAAAACTATGATGAAACGAAAGTTTAATAATTTTTCAACAATAAATGATATTACTAACGATAACATATAAATAAAACATTTCGATCAATGTCAGCTTAAAGAAAAAACACTTGTTAATTTTCTGTCTCTGAGTTGGTACGATTGCACGCATCACACGAAAGCATTACTTTTGAGAGTGCTCGATTGTGCGAAGCGTTGCTGTAGTTGGAACACTCAACGTTAAGCATTATGCCGCGTAATGCGCTATAATGCTGTAATTGGAAAGCTACCCATAAGTCGCCTAAAATGCCACGAGTATTTTGGATTAAATGTCAGCCAGAATAGAATGTGCACTCACGTGAGTGGCTGGTGTTACCGGAGGCGGTAATCTGGAAGCCCACGATGGTCAGCGGTTTGCGTTCTGTGATGCGGTCGGTTTGGCATATTAATCTACATTTTCTATTAACTTAAACTCGTGTGAAGTTTTTCTTAATTCTAAAACAATAAAGATATGAATTGAACTTAATCACACTTCACACTAATATTATAAAAGCGAAAGTTTGTGAGTGTGTGAGTATGTGAGTGTGTATGTTTGTTACTTCTTCACGCCTAAAAGGCTGGAGCGATTTTAATAAAATTTGGTATGGAGTTAGCTGACACCCTAGATTCACACATAGACTACTTTTATCCCCAAAAAATGTTAGATTCCAGAGGGATTTTCAAGAAACTAAGTTAACGTAGACGAAGTGGCGGGCAAACTCTAGTTTAACAAATAAAACTATGAATGTACGAGTGTACGAGCGCTAGTGGTTCGGTCTGCGATTGGAGAAGTTAAGCAAGTTTCGCAACGGCCGGTCGTAGGATGGGTGTATGTGTATGACCAATATCGAATGTACGAGTAGGTAGGTAGTCTGTTGCGTGCTATCATGGATTACATAATAATACCGACTATATATTATAATGTAGCCCATGATAGCACTCCGCGCCCGATATTTATGAGATGTCTGGGCATTAGTTTGTAGGTTCTGGTTTTCATATAAATATTAAAGCTATAATGCGATTCAAATAAGAATAGGAAAGCCAATGACCTCCATCTGTCAAACGTCGCTTGTAAAATACAGTTTGCAAAAAAATCGCGGAACACTTTTTTAGCACTCGGCTAATTCTAGAATAAAAATCAAACATTTTTAAACAAACAATAACAAATATTGATAATTAATATTGGTTGAGGTTTTTTTTCATTTATTGAGCTTTGGCTATGAGTGGTTGATAACTTAAATCATCAACCATATGGCACTTTATGTTGCGTTCAGAAACTCGATTTTAAACTTTCGTTAACATATAGGATGCATGTTCGTATGTGACCTGCATAATTATACATAACTACTCCGGCGGTAATGCAGAGATGAGCGGAATTGAAGAGCTAGATTCTGATTAATGTTTTTCCTCACACAGTCTTAATAAAGAAATATTATTAAATCTTAGTATCTTGTAATCTTAGTAAATTAGTTTTATTAAAAAATCTGATGTTTTTTCTCATTTAATCTAAGTAATTAAGTTATATTAAGAAATTTTTATTTGCTCACTCTACCTATTCGGTTTGAATTGACAGCTATGACGTCAAAATATGGCGCCCAGTCGGTCCTGTTCTTAGTTGAATCGCATTATATATCCTGTTGGGCTGTAATGTAACTAGAGAAGAGTAATATATTGAAACTAACATGTGTTGTTAACACGCGTGAGTGTGTGCGTTTAAATAACACATTGTGTGCGTGTGTGTGTGCAGTTGGGGCGCGCCGACGAGCAGATCATCCAGCCCCTCGAGCGGTTCCGCAAGGATCACATCGGAGCTGTTAAGGTATGAACTTGTTATACATATAAAATCCTACTTATATTAACTAACTCGCTTCGCTTCGGTGTAGAGCTGAAGTGTAGACTATAGTTTTTGTCCTCAAGCTTGTATTGATTCTTCTTATACCTGCATGCAAAGTCTCAGCCCGATCGGTTTCAAATTGACAAAGTTTCATACAAACTTTCATTCCCTATTTTATCCCCTTGGGGGTAGAATTGATCAAAATCCTTTCTTAACGGATGCCTACGTCATAACGTCTACCTGCATGCCAAATTTCAGCCCGATCCGTCCAGAGGTTTGGGCTGTGCGTTGATAGATCACTATGGCAGTCAGTCACTTTTGAGTTTCATATATATAGATTTTGTAAGGGAAAAAAAGTTGCAGTTTACTCATGGAACACAGGAATTTGTGTTTTTATAAATTAAAATAAAGTAATACCGGGTCTTCTGTCAACACCTAAAAAACATAAGCTACGGAACTTGTATTTCCAACACCAAACGGTTAGGTTCAAGCAATTGATTTTACTATAACAAAATCACATGCATATTAATATTCATTTTAAATTAAAAAAAAAATAGTACTCATAAGTGAACGTGTCAACATAAATTCATAGTATCATGTTATAAACATGTCAAACAACGCAGCACATCAGGAGCTCTATTTTTGAATCACTCGTCTGACATGGTATCATCGAATGCGACATAAGTCACCTTCGACTTCCAAGTCGCATGATACTGATTTTCCGTATTTTTGAATCGTTACCGTCACCGGTGTTACCAGTTTAATACGAAATATAAAATTTTATTCATTTCACGCAGACTAAATAAAGACCGGTAATTACCGCAATGCAAACGGAACGAAAAATTCTTAGTACATGGCTGTATAATACAATTGTATTTTATTGTTTATATTACCGGCACTTCACTTAGCTGTTCGTGATTGCTGTTTGTAAACTTGATATGCATTAGCCGTCATGCCATAATAAAAGAAGAAGAAACTTGACGTCAGTCTGCCCTTGTCGTTTCATATAAAGCATGACAAGGATAGATTATCGTCGTCTAATAGCAAAATGAATAGTAAAGTGCCGGCATTTGAAAAATTCAAACGTCACAACACTCATTTCATAAGAGTTATTAATAGTTTATTTTACTCAGTGGCTAAATCCAATCACACAAGAAATCTTAAAGTATAAGTTTGACACCAACGTGACATCGAACACAAATTTGACAATTGTTCTATCATTCGCCTCCACCATGCAACGAGTGGTCACACCCATTCGTTGCACTCGAGCGATTCAAAAATACGGATTTAATTATGTCGAATGAAAATTATTAGAAGTAGAGCGTTCGACGCAAGACGAGTGATTCAAAAATAGAGCTCCTGAACTTGAATCATTCATTGGTTGTGTTCTACCGATGTGGCGCGTATTGCAAAGGTTTCCTGATGTCATTTATCGTCAAACCATGTTTTTCCTGTTCCGTCCGATTGATTTTTAAGCTCGTGAATGATCGACTGACATACTGACATAATTACACGATCGAGTTTAATCGACAAAAATTTATTCTATAGTTTGCCAAAATAATATGGGTTGGGTATGAGATAACAGTTCTCGGTAATCCTAACTAATATTATAAGGGCAAAGTGAGTTTATTTGAGGAGCTCGATGGCGCAGGTGGTTAGCGCGTTCGGCTGCGATCGTTGTAGTTAAGCAACTTTCGCATGGGTCGGTCATTGGATGGGTGACCAAAAATTTGGTTGGTGACGTGCTTCGGAAGGCACGTTAAGCCGTTGGTCCCGGCTGCATCTGCAGTCGTTAGCACCCACCAATCCGCACTGGGCCCGCGTGGTGGATACGAAATAGGGAAGGCCTGTGCCCCAGCAGTGGGGACATTAAGAGGCTGATGATGATGATGATGATGAGTTTATTTGTTACACTCTCACACCTAAACTGCGCAACCGACTCTAATGAATTTTGCCATTGACATAGATGGTACCCCTGATACGATCAAAGGCTACTTTTCTCGAACACCCTATAATTACATTAATTAAATGGGGTACATAAGTAGAAACAAGTTTGTGTATGTGTAACCTTTATTTTCTATGTAGACGAAATCGCGGTCACTCCTTACTTCACGTATGATTATGTTTTTAGTTATTTTTAAGCATTTAACTGCTAGATGTTTAAATCTAAAGAAAAGTTTACTAGAAAAAAAATCCACGCGGACCAGGCAGCGGACGGGACTCGAACCCGCACCCTTCGCAATCCGGGCGAATGCACTGACCATTATGCTACCACGGCCCTATTGGCCGCGTCGGAATTTTTTTTTGCTAGTAAACTTTTCTTTAGATTCACTAATGATTATTATAATTATGTAGGTACAGTACATAATATATAAATATTTCAACCGATTTGTAGTGTCCGAATCTTATTTATTTTATTTTTATTATTTATTTTATTATCAAATACAATCATACACATTAAAATTAAAAAAACCATACACAAAAACCTGTTAAGGTTTATATGTGTATGGGAGTCACTCATTTACCACTTTATACACTTTCAAGTTGACTATTTATATATATATATTATAATTGAAATTTGTTTTAATTATTTATTTTTTATTATTTTAATTGTTGTAATTTTATTTTTTATTATAATTTATATTTATATTTATTGATTACAATGTTCGAGTACATTTCCTGTAGATTACTAGGCAATTCATTGAGATAGGAAGGTATTAAATAACAAAGCTTTCTATTACCGTGGACATTATTACATTTCGGCAACAAAAACTTTCTACGATCCAACACATTTCTCAGATTATCCGGTCTCTTATTAATATTCAAGTACTTAGTCTCGTTACATTCGGTTAGAATTACGTATTTTACCTTGTCATAAACATTCATCACATTACAATATCGATCTTTATGTATGGATAGCAAGAATCGCAGGCTCAACGCATGTTCATTTTCGAGTTAATTATCGTCGAGCGACATTTAGCGATACGCGACGTACGGCGCGGCGCGGACGCATGACCAATGACTAGGGCAGCCATCCGTCCGTGTTTCCCCTTCCCCGGATTTGTCCTAGTTTACGGGGCGTCCGGGGAGCGTCCGGGCGGGGTTTTATTTGTAGTCCGGGTTTAAAAATTTACGGCAACGCATGAATGGCACTTGGTGCTGCAAGTGTCCATGGGCAGCAGTGACCACTTATTATGAGGTAGACCGCTGCTCTTTTGCCTAGATCATCATAAAAAAGTTGATTTGTGATATTTTTAACTGTTTTTTATTGGTCTGTCCGGGTTCTGGGCTTCAAAATCCGGGGTTATCACGCGTCTTATCCTGGTTGGCACATTTTAGAGATGGCAGCCCTACCAATGACGCGGTACTTGTTGAATCTCACGCGTTCTGCCTGAGTTTGTTCTGTGCGTTCCATTCGCTGACTGATATCGAACGCGAGCTGACTAATGTGGCACCAGTGTTGGGCGTAATTAATTACTTTTGTAATCTAATTACTAATTCAATGAATAGTAATTGAATTACTTTAATTGAAATTACTGTAATTCAATTACTTACGTCCGTAGTAATTTAAATTACATTACAATTAGTTTGTAATTCAAATTACTCAATTACTTTTTAAGGGTAACAGAATAAACTACTAAAATTGAGCGGTTATTAGCTTGATGCCCGTACGCAGCACAACAAGCACAACACAAACAAAGTTTTAGTGTATAATTTGCCATGAATTTATGAGTGTGTAAGTGTGTGCCTCGTTACCTGTACCTACACAGCTACCTATCCCTTTTCAAGTCTCCCGGCGGCGTGCACCTATATTTCGATTGATTGTTCTCATATGCTACAATCTTAACTTACCAAAATCTTACAAACTTTCTGATCAAATGTTTGAACAAAGAGTAGTATTAATGTCTAATTTAAAATAAATTAAACATTTATTGTCTTAATTTTAAAGAAGGTGGTTTAAATTATACAATTTATCTGATCTATTTCGTAAATAAACATTTGACAAATTATAATATAATAGTTTTATTTAAAATACTACCTCGTCTTTAAAAGAGACCATATATAAGTAATTGAGTAATTGCAATTAACAATTACAATTGCTAATTGTAATTGTTAATTGAATTACATTTTAATAATTTCAAGTAATTTGTAATTAAAGTCACCAATTACAATTTGTAATTGAAATTTTAATTACATTTTGCCCAACACTATGTGGCACCAATTGGGAGGAAACACGATTCAAATCAAATACTATAAAGCAGTAGTATAGTAGGTAGGTATACGTAAATATTGAACAGCGAGACGTTTACGATATTCAACAGCCAGCGAAAGAGGCATATAAGTTTACTGTCGTTTTTCTCTGTGTGAAGGTCGTTCACTATTAAACTACGAAGTAGTTTTTACCGTTTGCTTTGCGCAGTCCTTGTAGATAGATAGTACTGCGTTAATGGGCTAGTAAATAACGAGATATATTGTAATAATGCGGCAACTGTAAATTTCCACGCGCACGTAGAAAGTATCGACGGATGCGACAGTTTGGAGCGCTATTGTGATGCGAGTTACCACCGGCGACCTGCCACTATTGTGTCCAGACAACAACTCCAATCATGCCAACGAGCGCCAAACGATCGTGGCGTTATTGAGTGAATACTTGTGCAAAATCATGACCTTGATCGTATCATACCTGTGACGCTCTGCCAACATTATAAGTGTAGGAAGGCCAAAGGGGAAGATCTTCCTCCGAGCTGGATGATGGTAGCTCGGGGACCGCGGCCCGACTGTAGTGTTGAGTAGGACTTACAAGAGGCGGTACATTTGTCCCGGACATGACGCCAAATTGTAAGAGCGGCTCAAAAATTTAAAATGTACTACTTCACATTAAATGTCGCGATAGTCGCGTCTCGTTACTCACTCACTCTTCGTAAGTCTGAGAGAGAGAGCGAGGCATGACATTTCATTTAAGTCCTCTACGCACTATCCATCTG